AGCAGAATGCGGCGACAGCAACAACAACAACAAAAAAGAGCACGGTCATCCCTGTGCTGAACTTTCCCTCAGACGTGCCGGTTGCCTTGGGGAAGAGGTGTTCTTTCACAAAAGAGAGTAAGCTACTCGGGCCCTCGAATCTAAAGCACCGATTAGAAATCTTTTCATCTTTTCCCCCCCAGGTCCACAAGTGGAAATCGATCAGGCAACTGTGCTGTGGATGGGTGGTTTTTTTTTTTGCAAAAATAAAAGAAGGAAGGGGGAGAAAGAAAAGATTTACCAGTCTAGGTTGGCTTCCTGTCGTCTTGTTTAAAATTTGGTTCATTTGTTCCCAATGGGAACCCAAAGCACCTTACAGTGTTCTCCTCTCGTCTGTTTTCTCCCCACAACTACCCTGTGAGGTAGGTTAGGCTGAGAGAATGTCACCGAGCCAGTTTGGTGTAGTGGTCAGGTGCACGGACTCTAATCTGGGAGAACCGGGTTTGATTCCCCCACTGCTCCACAGGCAGCTGCTGGCGTGACCTTGGGTCAGTCACAAGTTCTCTCAGAGCTGTTCTCTCAAGGGCAGTCCTCGAAAGAGCTCTCTCAGCCCCGACCTGTAGCTAAGATTTTTTTTTAATTCAGGGGGCCTTTAAATAAGGCACCTCCCCCAAGGGAACGCCACAATATAATAAAAAATTGGAAGTTGGGGGGGCCTGGGCTGGATGGGAAGCCGGGGGGAGCCTTGGTGGTAAGTCAGGGGGCCAGGCCCCAAGATGCCCTACTGTAGCTACAGGCCTGTCTCAGCCTCAGTTACCTCACAGCAGGGGTCATTTCGTAGAAAAAGAGGCGTAGGAACTCATTAGCATAACTCATTTGCATAGGCCACACCCCCTGACATCACCGGGAGTGTGTCAGAAGGCAACACCCACCGCTCAGGCTCCACTGGACTCTTTTGGATTGCTAGCTATTGGGGGGGGGGGCACATGTAGATATGTCCCCGCAGGGGGGGGAGAGCTTGTACCTGAATAAAACTTGGTCTTAAAGGTGCCACTGGAATGTTTTGGACTTGGGGGCCGGTGGAGAGAGCTCTGCAACTTACCTGGCTGCTTCTTGGTCTGACTGAGGGCTGCTGGGATCAGGGGGTGGGGCTTGTTGCATGTGCCCGCCCCCTGGGCTCTTTACTGCCGGAGCTCCGCTCCTGTGCGCTCCTGCAAAAAATGACCCCTGCCTCACAGGATGTCTGTTGTGGGGAGGGGAAGGGAAAGGAGATTGTAAGACACTCTGAGACGCCTTTGGGAAGTGAAGGGTGGGGTATCTTCTTCTTCTTCCTGGCCCAGGGTCACCCCGTGAGCTTCCATGGCTCAGGTGGGGATCTGAACCCACGTTTCACAGATGCTTGTCCAACACTCTTCACCACTACACCAGCTCTCGGTATCCTGTCTCTTCTCTTACATAGTAGAGTATATCTGGCAGTAAAACAGTCAATGTCACTAAGCAGTCTATCTCGTCTATTCCCCCCCCCCCCTTTCAGGACTTTTACAGTCTGCAAAATCTTTAGAGAGAGCGCTGCCTTTTGGTACATTAAAGTGATTAATCTGAAACAAAGGGGCTCCTGTGCCAAGGAAAAGTTCTCTTTCGGAAGCAGACGCCCGGTGCCAGATTTCCTAAGTAGACGACGGTGCAACTTTCGTTGAAAGTCAATGGAACCGATTTTCATTTTGAGGCTGACAAGGTGACAGGAGAGGGAATTAGTTTCACAGGGGGGATATCGCAGTGGGGCTGGAGACTGAGAGACACAGATCCATAAACCAGCTAAGGCTAGTTCACATTTGCCAAACGGAGGGGGGTTATACGCATGTCCAGTGTTCCCTCTAAGCTGATTTAGTGTGAGCTAGCTCACGGTATTTTAGCCTCTGGCTCACATATTTCTGTCTTAGCTCAGGAAGGATGGAGAGACAGTTTGGTGTAGTGGTTAAGTGTGTAGACTCTAATCTGGGAGAACCAGGTTTGATTCCCCACTCCTCCACTCGCAGCTGCTGGGCGACCTTGGGCAAGCCACAGTTCTGACAAGAGCTGTCCTTGAAAGGCCAGTTCTTGAAAGAGCTCTCTCGGCCCCAACTACCTCACAGGGTGTCTGTTGTGGGGAGGGCGAGGGAAAGGAGTTTGTAAGCCATTCTGAGACTCTGAGTGAAGGGCGGGGTATAAATCCAATCTCCTCCTCCTCCTCCTCCTCCTCCAGAGCAAACTAATTTACTCAGTAGCCAAACTGCTCGCTCACAACTTTAATGCCAGCAGCTCACAAAGTCAAATTTTTGCTTACAAGTTTCCACAGCTTAGAGGGAGAATTGATCATTGTCTTCACACAGAGGCAACATGTAATGGCCAAGATCCGAAGCCTGTGGGGGCAACAATGTACCCACTGAGCCCTGCCCAAGGAAAGATATTCCATCATTTCCTTCAGAGTTTTGGGAGGGATTTGTCGTGAGAATTCCAGTTCCGGAACACAGTTGATGGATTACAACCACCATGAAGGTCAGTGCAATCCTATGTGGCGTTACTCCCAGTCTAAACGTAACTTATTTAAATGGGCTTCGACTGGAGTAGCTTTGCATAGGATTGCACTTTTGGGAACACGGGGAACTTGACTTTACCAGCCGGTTCTAAGACAGTCTGTAATTCCACCGGCTTCTTAGTGAGGGAGACCTGGTTCGCACCCAGGTACACCAGTCAAGAAAGGATCCTTGCCGTCTGTGAAAACGAAACACCCCTTTCCGTCATATTTGAAACCAACACAACAAAACTGGCTTTAATGGTTGGAGACCGGTGTCGCCTCTAAGCTGAGTTAGTGTGAGCTAGCTCACAGTTTTGTAGCCTCCGGCTCACACATTTCTGTCTTGGCTCAGGAAGGTCGTGGCTCCAGAGCAAACCAATTATGCAGCAGCCAAATCGCTGGCTCACAGCTTTAATGCCAGTAGCTCACGAGGTAGAATTTTGGCTCACAAGACTCCACAGCTTAGAGGGAGCATTGCTGAAGACTGCATGGGAAAGAAATGGCCCCCCACGGGTTCTGATTAAAGAGAATGTGGAATACTGGGGGGAGGGGGTGCAACAAAGATATAAATGAAAATGATCCTGGTGGGATTTGTTCACCCTTGACGGGAGGGGGAAAAACAACAGAAGAGGTGTACAAATCAAAGGAGACCCTTTCTCCCATCTTTGCATTGAATTTGCTACTTCGTCTAGTGGTTTTGTACCTGCTTCTTCTTCGAGCTGAAATACGTAGTTTTGAATGTTCTGTGGGGGCGGGGGCGGTATTGCTGCCGATCGATTTCACTTTGCCAAGTTTTATTAGATATCATTTCGTGTCTCTGTGTTGACTACCTTCTGATGCCTTGTGACTGTCAGTGAGGAGTGAAAGGCAGAAATGCTGTGATGTTGAATGAAGACACAAACAGCCCTTTACTGGAAGCTGGCATTCCGGGTCTCCAAGCTAGGAGTTTCAAGCTCTCTTATTGACTTGAAAGGAAGACTTAGTTTCCCCCCCTCACCCCAGGAGAGGTGTTAAAACAGGTGGCCATCCTAAATTCTCATACAAGTGATAGTTGCATATGATGATAACAAAATTGTTTGTGCATAACCTTTTTAAAAAGGGGGGGATGGTCTTCAGTAAATAGTACCTATAGAAAAATTGGGGATGTGATATGGTATAGCCAGATCTCATCAGATCTCAGAAGCTAAGTAAGGTTGGTGCTTGGATGGGGGACCACCCAGGAAGACTTTGCAGAGGAAGGCAATGGCAAACCACCTCTGCTTCTCACTTACCTTGAAAGCCCCTTGCTGGAGTCGCCATAAGTCGTTGCTTGGATGGGAGACCACCAAGGAAGGCTCTGCAGAGGCAGGCAATGGCTAACCGCCCCTGCTTCTCACTTGCCTTGCAAGCCCCTTGCTGGGGTCGCCGTAAGTCAGTAACTTGGATGGGAGACCACCAAGGAAGGCTCTGCCGAGGCAGGCAATGGCTAACTGCCTCTGCTTCTCACTTGCCTTGCAAGCCCCTTGCTGGGGTTGCCATTAAGTCAGTACTTGGATGGAAGACCACCAAGCAAGGCTCTGCAGAGGAAGGCGATGGCAAACCACCTCTGCTTCTCACTTGCCCTGAAAGCCCCTTGCTGGGGTCACTATACGTCTTGGATGGGAGACCACCAAGGAAGGGTCTGCAGAGGAAGGTGATGGCAAACCACCTCTGCTTCTCACTTGCCTCGAAAGCCCCTTGCTGGGGTTGCCATTAAGTCAGTACTTGGATGGGAGACCACCAAGCAAGGCTCTGCAGAGGAAGGCAGTGGCAAACCACCTCTGCTTCTCACTTGCCTAGGAAGTCCCTTGCTGGGGTCACCATAAGTGTTGGATGGGTGACCACCAAGGAAGACTCTGCAGAGGAAGGCAATGGCAAACCACCTCTGCTTTTCACTTGCCTTGAAAGCCCCTTGCTGGGGTCACCATGTCTTGGATGGGAGACCACCAAGGAAGACTCTGCAGAGGAAAGCACTGAGAAAGCACCTCTGCTTCTCACTGGCCTTGAAAGCCCCTTGCTGGGGTTGCCATTAAGTCAGTACTTGGATGGAAGACCACCAAGCAAGGCTCTGCAGAGGAAGGCAATGGCAAACCACCTCTGCTTCTCGCTTGCCTTGAAAGTCCCTTGCTGGGGTCGCCGTAAGTCCCCTGTGACGATGCCACTGTGCACGCACGCATAGAAAAATGGTGGCAAATTGGCTTGCTACATTTTGACGTAGACTGCATAGGACAGGGAGGTCTGCACCGTGGAGACCTGGTCTCCAACT